ATTTAGTATAAATAAATCAGAAGATATTGGATTAACATTGTTGGCATATCATCACAAATAAATCTAGAGATTTGTGTGAGACATGGATTTTGATCTCACAGTATTCAAAAAAAAAATTTTATTTATTAAAAAATCAATAATTAATAAAAGTATTTTATTCAAAAAAATAGAATTATGATTTATCGTTGATAAATAATTTGTTGCACGGATTTTTCTGCACAATAAATTATTGGCTGGATTAAATGTAACACAAACCCGCACTCAATTTCCAACACTGATTCGCACTGTACCCCATATTAATATAACCAGTTCCGTGAACACCGAAAGTCATTACCAAAATAAAAATACAATTAAAACAGTAAAAAATAATAAACCTGGTAAATAAATGGAAAATGTAAATAAACAAAACAGGTACCATTCTTCAATTCAAATCTAAAACCAACCATAATCGCTGAAAGTCAAGTCTTCTCTTTTAAAAGGATATGAATTGGAAAAATTACTATTTTTGTTTATAATCAAATTTAACAATAAAGGTCAAAATGGAAATATTTATTTATTTAAGGTGGAGAGCTGCTTTACTTTCAACTTTGTCTCATTCCGATCAATTCCTATATATATATATATATATATATATATATTACTCTCTCTATCTTATCTTCATTCGTCTATTAATGTCAAAAAAAAATAAACAAAAAATGTCGCTAAATTCAAATTTTAAGTCAATGACCAGTTGTTTCTCGCAAGTCGATGAAGAACTTTTACTTGAAAAAATCTTAGAGGATCGAAGAGTTCCTCCACTTTACCTTTCAATTGAAGAATTATCTGAATCGAAAAAAGGTCTCGATGATTTTATCGAAAGACCTAAACGTCCAATCAATTCATTTTTGATTTATAGAAAAAATGAATTGGCTTTATATAAATCAAAAAATACCAAAATCAGTAAATCTGATGTTAACGGAATTCAATTAAAGTGGAATAGCGCATCAGAAGAAGTAAAAAGTTTTTTTTCAAAATTGGCTGAATATGCTAAAAAAAAACACGAGAAAAACTACCCTCATTACACATATCGTCCAAACAAAAATAAAAAAAAGCCGCTTAAGCACAAAATCGTTGAGTTCAAATTCGAGAATATCATTTCCGATAAAAAAAAGAATAATATCAATATTAATGATAATAATAATGTTAATAATAATAATAATATTAATGTTAATACTAACAATGACATTAATATCGATATCAACGATATTATAAATATTAATATTAATGATGATAACGACAATAATAATTTTTTTTTATCTTCAACAACTACGACTAACACAACCAACGCCATCGACTACACTCAAATAATTAACAAGTTTAATCCTCTTGTCAACAACAACACTACTACTACTACTAGCTTATGTAATATGAATATGTACATTGAAAATAATTGTCCATCGCAAGATTTAACAAATATGAGAATAACCGATGATGACTCAATCAACCCAACAAATTATGAATATTATTATTACAATCTTTAATTTCTTTTTTGCCAATTTTTTTTTTATAATTACTATTTGAATTGTTTTAAGTTTTAAATTAAGATATGATTTGATTTATTTTATTATTTAATAATTAAGATTTGCTTATAAAATTTTATTTTCTAATTAAATCAACACGTAAAAAAGAATGTTTTTAAAACTTCAATTAAAAAAATAAAGCTAAATATAAATTTCTTATCAAATTAAATTTAATATACTGTATGTGCTAGAAACAGTTGTGGCATAACAGATTTCAATACTTCTCTAAAACAATTTTTCATATATACAATGTTAAGTCGGAAAGAAATAAACGGGGATACTAAGAGAGATAGATTGTATGAATGCAGTAAAGGGAAAAATGTTTGTCCAATAGTTGTGCTGTTAACACGATCCAAATATTCAAAGATTAATTTTGTATTCTTGTTAACAACACTGGTGCACAGTCATTACCAAGCCTATCAATTATAGTGATGTTAGCCTGCTAAGAAATTTATCGACTTAGCCGGTTAAAAAAATTTTCTCTTAACATTCATTTTTACGTCTGGAATTCGGTGCAAAATTCAGTGGCATAGACATTTACTTGAGATGGGTTCACCTGTGTTACTTAGAATGATAAAGAAACATACATTTGCTCAAAAAGCAAAATACAATCCATTATATATAGCAGGATAAAAGTCATAGAGTTTCTATACAAATTCTTATTTTAATTCGAATTTTTATTATTCGTTCTATTCGAATAAAACTTTCAATGTAATTCGAGTACTCAAATTCATAACGAATAAAACAAATAATTTGAACTCATTAAAGGCGAGATATTATGATGATAATAACGATAGCAGTAATAATAATAATACAGACAAGCTTAGTACCATCTGAAAAGGTTTTTCATCAACTGCGATTTATTAAGTTCTTGGCCGGCTAAGCCGACTAAAGTTTTTCTATCGGCTAACATCACTATCCATTATGATACAAAATGTTCTTGAAAGACTGTAGGCAGCAGATACAGTTGATTTACATTGTGTGCTTGAGGAATTTCTTTAAGATATTTTTTAAAAAAGGAAGCAAACTATTTATTTTTCAAATGGAACATCTGCACTTGAATTAAATTCTTTTATAGATTCTGCGGCAAGAAGAGTTGTTTCTAAAGTTTGCTGCATAAACTCTTTTTGAGCCAGGTGTTTTTCTCTCACCACAATGGGCATCTACTGTTAATTATACTTCCGTTCTATAGAAAATCAACAGGATTTTCTTTTTACCCTTGTATAAACTGTCACTCCTACTAGTTTTTTAGAAATTTTTTTAAACTGATGAAATTTATTTTTCTCATTAAAAAAAATCTTTATAATATACATACACATTTAACTTTCGAGTGTTTTTGAATACATGTTTATAAAAACCATGGTTTGTTTGATACTGTTTTTTTGAAAGTTGAATGCGTTCACTTACTTATGGCAAATTAACAAACCAATATAACAAGATTTTAACTGAGTATTGTGTGTGAGCTTTTTATAACAGATAATAAAAAACTAAATTAAGAATATATATTTTTATTAATTAAGCTTGGTAATAATGTGGTAATATTGTTTTTTTGAATTTGGTAGAATAAAAGAAGCCAATCAATTATAATTGATCTTTTCCAATCTCTTATATTCTTCTAAAACTGTTTTAGAAATCTTTAATTGTGAATAGTCAACCCTAAAACGTGTAGTTTTTCTAAAGAAGGTGCTTGATTCATTGCAACATATATTTTGACCTTCAACAAACATATTTTCATCAACATTTAATGTTACATGCGATAGAGTTAGGCCTTGTGTTTTATGAACAGTTACGACAAACGCATTTTGAACAGGGAATTGTTGCCTAGATGCTCTCTGGCCACCAATTTCAAAACGACTGGTTTCTTTTTGAACTATAATCTTATTTATAATTGTTAAAGTAGGAAATATCACTTCAACATTATTATCATCATGAATTTTGTAGCAATTCCAATAGTGCATTACATATATTTTCATCAAATAATTTATTAATAGGGAATATTAATATTACATTTTCATCTTCCTGTAGATATAATTTATGAGGTAGGTTTGTTAAATTTTTGAATTGATTAATTGAATCTTCTTTATTTAGTGTTATAAAATATTTTAAAATTCACAAAATGTTTAAATATATATTTATGTATTTTGAAAGTATAGT